ATCGAGAATTTCACGATAAATAATATTTTTAGTTTCAATGTATTTTTATAAATTAAACACAGTATTGGGTTGTGTTTAGTAGAATACATATAGGGCAAATGAACTGTAAAGCGTATCACACAGAGTGATAGTTGAGACATATTGTAGACACAAATTCTGTAGTAAAACTTCACATTGGCTCACCTGCTGTTTAATGAAATATGAACCTCATTGTGAATAGCAGTTACATCTACAACCGTTATGTACACGTTTGCAGAATCATGGCCTTTGTAAACATAATAAGAACATCCCGTCCACAGCCTGGCCTGCCCCGCATGCCGAAACTGGGATCGAATGCAACTTGCAGAACAAAATGATTAATAACGAATGACGGCAGACAAGCGTTCATGCTACTAATTTTATGATTTCATTAAAATTCAGTATACTTTAGAAACGGCAAAAATTACAAAGTGTAACACATCTGGGGCTCACTGTCTGTCATTTCAAGCGAAAATCTGGAAAAATTGGTGTACTAGAAAGCTCAAATAGCTTTGTAAACGAAGACCCTTAGTGTTTCCAAATTTGTAAAGACAATAATGAATTATTATTTGTATTATTAATTAGTTGTAAGTAATGAGGGTTGTTGTCGTTAATGAGCTTTGCATCTCCGCACCCGCAGGACGCCGACCGCAACCACGCAGGCAGCCCGTGCGAGGCGCTGACGCCGCCATCGTCGCCGCTCGACTCGCCGCCCCCGCCGCCGCCGCCCGCGCCCGCGCCCGCCCCCACGCCCGCCCCCGCGCCGCCCGCCCCCGCGCACTACATCTCGTCGCTGCGCGCGTCGTCGCGGCGGGGCGGCGGCGCGGGGGCGGGCGGCGCGCTGGATGGCGCCGGCGCCTGCGGGGGCGGAGGCGGAGGCGGAGGCGGCGGCAGCCCCGAGAAGGAGAGGGACCCGCTGGCGCGGCTCCTGCGCTTCTTGCGCGCCTTCTACAGGTAGGGCTTTGTTTCGTTTGGGGATTTCTTGGGGAGATTATTTTCATCCGGAGTAAAGATAGAAATAGTATTCTTGCAATTATTATGAATAAACAAGAAACAAATTTCTCTTTATTCTATCTCGTTTTTATGTATCAAAAAGATAAACATATACGACAGGCATAGACAAAAAACAACCCAAGATAGTATTCTAGCGTAGAGCACAAATATCCCTCCTCTCTGGTTTCGAGCAGCTCAAAGAACAACGATTGGTTGATTTGAATTATTTGGATTTTTGGAGTCAGCCAACTGAATCGCCAGGGGCAGTTCAGTTCGTTTGTCATAATTTGGAAAATACGTTTCTTTTCGAAGTTTGTGAATTTTCTTTCATTGGAGAAGTTACTTGGGGAAATTCCGTAGTACTGGTGGGGAAAGAGCTCAGAACACCTTGCAACCCTGCACTAACTGCATCCTGCTGTCAACTTTCCTTGACCGCTTACTTGCCCCGAAATTTTGGTGGAGCAATGGCTAGTTTATCGGACTTATATCTGATTGACACACGGTTCAATTCCAATTAAAGCCTTGAATTTTGAGGGCAAAAGTATCCTAAATACACTTCATTTGGAGGGAAAGTGAAGCCTACAGTCCATGTTGTAGATTTACTGTTTGTAAAAGCTCTTCAAGCCTAAAAGAAGCCCCAGTGCCACATTGAGATCTTAGGTTCCATCGCCCGGGTGATGCTATCCTTCTGCTCTAAAAGGTCAAAGGAGAGGAGCAAAATGTACCTGGTCAGACGGAATAGCAGTCTCAAAATAAGGCATTGTTAAATTGAATTAAATACCTTACCCAAACGCCATAGCTCTACTCCATTCCGTTCTGTTTTTTTGCTTAGTATGAGAATTGATTTCTACGATTCACGAGGTCTGCTGAGAATCACGTTGATTGGGTTCGTAGGCTTCCGCGGCCGGAGTCAATGTATTCTTGGCTATCCGGGATGAGCCGCGTCTCGGGTCAATTGTGCTGACGTTCCGGCCATCTTGCTGTGGTCTTCGAAGCTATACTGCTGAGCTCTGAAGAAGGCTAGAGCAAGATGGCCGAAACGTCAGTACAATTGACCGAGACGCGGCTCATCCCGTATAGCCAAGAATACAATCACGTTGATTGTTTAAATTTGATCTACTTTCCATTTTGAAATGTTTTGAAGAAACATTTGCGTGTCCTTTTAGAGCACTGCCAACATTGAAAACAATTGTCTAAAAGATTTTGAAAACAAAACTTGAAATCTCATCATAAGCATTTCCCTACTTCGCTGACTTAACATACATAATTACGAAGATTCTGCCATGGTCACCTGTGTCGAGGATTTCCCTGGACTGGTGCAAGAACATCTACAAATACATGCACTACTTATGAATGCAAATTTAACAAAAATGTATACTTCTTCCGAAACACAGGATTAACGAACCGAGTTTGAGTCGGGCTATGCCTTCTCAGATGACGTAAAGAGTAGTGAAAGAGGATTATGTGGAAGCGAGAGTGTGGGAAAACTGCCTGCTGTATTCAGTCGAGCTTTTCTCGCCGAGAATGCGCCGAAACAACGTAATAGCTTGAAAGACCCTTCAGAAATTGAATTGAGAGGAATTTTGAACATTGACAAAAATATTATCGTAAACATTGTAACGTAAACAAAACGTGTAAATGAGGTATAAAGACAAACCGTTCACAATGCCGTAACATAACCATAGGCGTAAATCTATAAACTTCAGAGTTCACAAGCTTTAACGTACAAGTACTATAAGTCGGAATTATAACACAAACCAATCAGAGATCATCATAAAAAATGCACAACAAAGTCCGCGAGAAGCAAATGGAAGATCTATTTCAGATTGTGCTCAGCAAGGTATTTGTGGATATCATATTATGTACGTCCATATCATTTTATGTACGTCATTATTATGTTATTTTATCCTTATTATGTCTTCAACTAGTTTGGGAACGGTTTTGGTGCAAATATCGAATTCAAAGAAAGAATTTTCTTGTGACTTTAACGTAACATTGCGAATGAAATAATGACATTGACGAATAACACGTGAGTTTGTTACAAGAGAATCATTTATATAATAAAGGAAATGCCAGCACTAATACATCAGCTACTCGTCTACACGAAAATGTTAAATAAATAGCAAAGTCGAAGAAAAAGCTAAAAAGGAATTGATCAAGCTTCAATACTTTGAATTCTGATCAGTTCAGGCAAAACAACGTTAATTGTGAATGTTCGTTTTTTGTTTAAAGTTTACTCGTAAGGTTACGCAGCGTAACGTTTAAGTTTAACGGTATAACGGTTGTGTGCATTGTGAATATAGCGCAACGCGCCGTGAATACACGTCATAAACGGAAATTGTGAGTAATAAATAAAATCGTGAATGGAGGTGTGTGATCCCTTGAGACCTAATGGAACAGGGGTGTCCAACTTGCAAAGCCTCAGTTTCCATTGCTTGGGCGATCCACATCTGGCTGCCCCGAAATGTCTGTCGGCACTTCAGCCTGCTGCACTGAAACGGGGCGGAGG